CTGAGTCACATTCTCGAAAGTCTCACATGTGCCATTTATTCCCAGACGATGCCGGAAAGGGTGACTTAACCGCCCTGCATGTGACAGTTACAAGACACAGCAAGTCTGTGCCCAGGAACGCCTGACGAGCTGCAGAAGAGAAACAGCTCCCCCTTCTGACTGACCCCACCTCTCCCTCGCTCTCTCCTCGCTCTCAAACACACCTGTAAACAGAAACACTCTCCGCTTCCTTCTCTCATCGTTCTCTGGAACGCCTATCATCGCCTACCACATTTATCAATATCACCTGCGTGCATTTACAAATAAGCACACCTGTGCTTGTGCTGGCCATCTCCTGAGGAATGAAACTGTCCCTCTTTTTGTCTGCTACTATGATCTGGGCACCCAGGACATGCTAGTCATGTCGCAACTTTTTATTGAATGAATAAAACTACTTAGGAGCTATATGGCAAAATCTCTTTTAACGTACAAATAATGGTTCTCAAAAAATGTTTTCCTAATACTGGTTTCCAAATCACAGGTCCTGAATAACAACTCTGAATAATATTCCCCTTATTCATTTTAAAATTTATTAAAAGTATGGCATCCTTAATTCAGATGGTACATGTTTAATCCATGAGTGTGTATGCACACTTCATCAGTCACATAACGATGGACAAAGTAATAAGACACGGTCCAGAGACAGAGTGTAGAACAGGAGAGACTCCCCATACAACGTACTTCATCCTTAAAACAAAAACTGGTAATCAAATTCCAAGCCTCCAGAATGAAAGCTTATTCATCTTCTTTCATTTTCAATTACAGTTGACATTGTTATATCAGCTTCAGCTGTACCACATGGTGGTTAACAGCAACATCATTCAGGAAGTGGCCTCCCCAATTATTCGAGCACCACCTGGAACTGCACTTGGTTGCTACACTGACTGGATTCCCTAGGCTGCACTTTGCGTCTCCGTGACTGTTCTGTGACTACCGACTTGTGCTTCGTACCTCCTCCCCCTTTTCCACCCAGCCTGCCAGGCTCGGCCCCTCTGGAAGCCATCAGTTTGAAAGTATATTTTTAAAGCAATAATTAGAACACTAGGTTGCATCTGACAAGCACCAAAACCTCTCTCCCTAATTTGCCCTCTCTCACTGCCTGACGAGAGAGAGAACTGAGAAACCGCAATTCCACAGTTACTGCTTGAAGCATCTCTGCCTTCTGCCCAACTGCTCACACTTCTGCAGATTGTATCTTTACTACTTTTGCTATTGTTTGGACAGGTTGTCTATCAGTGATTTACAGCCATATGTCTTCCTAGAAAAATCTCAAGACACTTGAAACAACAGCAGTGCTGTATTCCAGAAGTGTGTCAGAATTTAGCCCCAAAAGGAACACGAGCAGGAAGCGTAGGGAAAACTAAGGCGTCACTCAGTAGGCGTCATTCTCCCATCTAATTCCATTTAATCTTGACCTCCACGCTCGTCATTGGAACAATGTCTTTAGTCCTTCCACGAGAGCAAAGGCAGCACATGCACACAGAACCCAGTGTGAGGGAGAAGCTGGAGACACCCGCTGTGCCTGCAGGTGTTCGGCCCACCGTCCAAGCGCAGTTTCAGTCCCACAGTTATGCACATTCCGTAACTGTCGACGGAACGGACACAGCAGCCAGGAAGCACAACGTGTTCCCAAATTACTCAAGTGTCACTCTGGCCATCTCCTTACGAGTCCACCACCTCTCACAACAAACCTGAGTCAACTTCAGTAGTTCGCTTCAGGAACAGGACACCATCCGTGGGGACAGCCAGATCATATTACAACAAAGAGCGATGAGGAATAAGAATTTCATGTATTTCTGTGGAACTGGTCCAGCTTACAAACCACTGTCCAAAAGTCAGACTGTTTTACTCTTCTTAGAATAAATCAAATACCCGTTAGGTTGTCCTCATGTGTCTCCCCCCAGACAGGTTGTCGCTTAGACAGGCTACCCTCGGGTAGTGCAGTTCCGCCCAGGTCCTGGAGCCACTGCTGTCCCAGGGTGAGGACAGAGGGAGCCAGAAACATGTCTACCCAAAGATCTGAAATAATGAAGTGCTCTGTACATGTAAAATGAAGGAGTTATTTTTATCTTTGCGCACAAATAATGGCTCTGTCTCACCATGCAATCAAGACGAGTACAACCCTTCCTTCTGGAGAACACGTGTGGCCCGGCTGCCCACTTCTGCCGCTCCCACCCTCTAGGCGTGATCTGACAGCCACGCTGGTTTAATTTCACCCGTACCAACATGCTGAAGGAAGGGCGCTGGGGGGGGGGGGGAGAGGGGTTCCTACCGACATCCCTACCCAGGAAGAGCTGCGACACATTGACCTCAATGTGACCCAGAAATTATCAACATCACATAGAAAACATTTCCAGAGGGGCAGACTTCCACGTGTGGATGGGAGAGTGGGTACAGAACAGTATCAAAACATTTGCAACCCCCTGGTTTTCTCTGCAGTGACAGCCAGCAGTCTGCAGGGCTAAGGGGTGTGTACTCAGCAGGTGAGCATACAAGGAGACGCCAGTTACACACAGATGCCCAGAGGTCGGGCAGGCAAGCACCTGTGGCCCCTGCCAGTGAGCTCAGGCAAGCAGTCTGGGATCTGACACAGCATATTCCTATCTGAGAATGAAAACATCCAACTATTAAAACAAAACTATGCTCACCCATCCCCGGGAGCCTGGCTCACCACAGAAGCGCCTGAGGCTTGTTCAGAAGGAGTCAGTGTCTCTTCCCCTGACATCTCTGCTCTCCCGGGCTGCCACCCACATGCCAGGATGCCTCCAACTTTTCCGCATCTGACTAAAGGCCACTCTTATGTCTAAACAGTCACCACAACAAAAACGTGTTGATTTCTTCATAAGCATCAAGCACGTCACAGGCATGTTCTCACTGAATGTTCACAACCGCCGTGAGAAGCAGCCGCTGCTGGGCACCTGGCTGCACTTTACAGAGTGGAAAAGGGCCCTTACAGAACCTGAGTCACCAGCACACGGCGCACAACTGGCCTTTGCCCTCACTAGGGGCCCCCACCTGCCTGCAGAAAGAGAAGAGGGTCAAGACCACTCCATGGATGAGAGTCACTTAGCGCGTCACAGGCTGTGGAGCAGCCTCAACCTGCCCCCGTCGGTATGTACCACCACAGCACCCACCACAGCGGCACCCCTCCTCTGCTCCTGGCAGAGACCACCCAGTCATCTGAGTCCTGCAGACTTCTCACCTGCCCACATCCTACTGCCAGCATCCTCCTCTCTGCTTGGACCGTCAGAGGCTTTGCAGCCTTTCTGACGCAATGCCGGACTGACAAGCTTGCCCCAACTTCTGCTCACCCATCCCATCCCCTGCATGCTCCCCGGGCACCTGAAATCAAGATCCAACCCTGGCTCTGAGTCCAAGACTCAAACACTCAGATTTCCTGCATGATGCCCCAAGGGTCTCTTCGCTCACCACGTCCAAAGGCCCTTTGTCCCAGCCTGCCCACCTCCTCCAGTCTCTTCTCTTAAAGCCTACAGTTGCCCCGGATCCCATGCCGGCACCCACAGCCCACACCGCGAGCACCCCTACGATGGGCCACCTGTCTGGCCTCACCATCCCTGCTCCAGGCCCCACTGCAGCTGGGAGGCCACTCCCCAGGTTGACTTCCTCACTGTTCCCCACATGGATGAGGACAACAGCCCTCTTCTGGTCAGTCTCCCAGACTCAGAGCCTCCCCACCTCCGACTGGAGCCCTCCTGCCCCTCAGGGCTATATTTTAAACAGGGCCTGCCCATCTCACCCCAGACTCCGCCCCTTCCTAACCAGCTGGGGGCAGAGCAGCCAGGAGGGGCCAGGTCTGCTCTCTCCACTGACTCCCACCTTCCCGTCCTCCCCTGGTTCCCCTAGAACCACGGCTGTTCCCGGGGCACTCCACCGCCCCTTGGGAGTCTTTCTCTCTTTCTTCTGTTTGGAATTAATTCCTCAAACCATCTGCTTTCTGAACTCCCTCTAGTCTTTTATACAAACACTGTCGACACCTCCAGCGCCTGCTTCCGAACCTGCTAAAAGCAGTGTTTCCAGTTCGGGGACTTTTCCAGTCGTTGTGTAAGCTGGGTCCATGGGGTGACATGGGTAAGACAAGCCCCCAGATCTCAGGAACCTTTCCCAGGTGAGCAGCTCGCTAATAATGACTAGTAACTTCTCAAATGGTCCCTAGGTATATCTTTAAATCACAAAAAGAAATATTTATTAAATAAGTTACCTAAACATGTATGTTAATACTATGAGAAACATCCCCCAGAACTTAAAAGACACATAATAAGTCATCCAGACAATGCCTTCTCCCACAGCGACCTCTTACTTATGTATTAAATTTATCATGTTCATCATGACTTCATGCGGCAAAGCAGAGCATTCAAACCATCCCAGACACTGTTCTGTTTTTGTAGTAATTACGCACTTTCCCCAACAATGCAGATACATCAACAACCCAGACTACATCAACCTTGGCCTAAAGCCAAATACTAACATGAGAGAGGTACTATAATCATGTAAAATATTAGGGAAAGCAGTCAATTTTATTTTCTATGGCTGCAAATGGTATCTCTGAGAGGTAACAGAAAAACATCCTATACTTTTGTATACTTTTTGTATAACTCATCTTGAATCTGAACTCAAGAATAAATGTTCCAGAATGAAAATTAATTAAAACTAAGGAACATCAGTGGTTTGTTTAATGTGTTCACTCCTCCAACTCAGTTTATTTAATTCAACGCTTCTTGGCGTGCTTTAATTTTTTCCAGCAATTCTACCTATTTTTTGATAGGTAATAAAAACACAACATGGGGAAGAAGTTCTAAGCAGGCCAACAAATGAGTACTCAGGGAACGGATGACATTAGTGGTCCCCTTTCTACTATGCTGGTGGCCTGAACAGACACACCCTGGGTTTAAAAATTGCACCCAGGTGAGGAAACACGAGGCTCGGCCATGCTCGTCACCCACCTCCGCTGCTCCTCCCCGTGCTCTCCAGATGGGACAGTGAGGCACTCGTCCATGTGTCCATGCAGCAGCCTGAGGACGTCCCCACCGATCAGATACCCTGTGAGAGCACACACACAGTCACATGTGAACCACCATGCTGCCAGGATGATCACCGGGCCCCACCTTCTGTTTCCATGGGCTGAGAGACAGGCTCTAATAAGGCTTAGGCCCAATCTCAGGGGTGGACGGGGCCACTTGCCTGCTGCCTCCGGGCCCCAAGCCCCTGAGCCCCAGTTAGTGACCTTCCCACTGAAAACACCTCCCCAACCCTATAAGCCCCCATGAAACACACACACGAGGCTAGGCTCAGAGTTGACCGTGCATAGGCGGTGACGATCAGAACCAACCCTGAGGTGCAAGCACTGCTGTGACCCAGCTCTGAGTCACCTGCGCTGGAGGATGGAAAATCTCTTTTTTAATCTTAAATATAAATGTCTTTTCTAAATTAAATAATTTAATTTATCATTTATTCTATTACAGCTGTCCTGATTTCTTTTTCTCCCCTTTTGATCCCCTCCACCCAGCCCGCCCCTCTCACCCAGCCACTCCCCTCTCTGTTGTCCGTGTCCAGGAGTCATTCATACGGGTTCTTTGCTTAATCCCTTCCCCTTCCTTCCACCACTCCCCTCTCCCCCACCCCTCCGACAACTGTCGGCCTGTTCCGTGTTTCTGTGTCTCTGGTTCTGTTTTTCTCATTAGTTTATTTTGTTCATTAGATTCCAGTTATATGTGAGGTTATATGGTATTTGTCTTTCTCCAACTGGCTTATCTCACTTAGCATAATAGTCTCCAGTCCCATCCTGCAGTCAGAAAGGTAGGACTTCTTTCTTTCAGCTGCGTAGCTCTCCACTGTGTGGGAAATCCTGACAGGAGCCTAACTGAGCAATACCCTGGAGCCAAAACACTGGAGAAAGTAACCCCTAGAAAGCCAACACATAAACACACACCAGTTTTAAAGTTAACAATAGCATAAAATTAAGGCAAGGTAAGTCCTAACACAAACTTCACTTTTAAATACCAGTCTGCACAAGGATCTTAAATGTCAGCACCTATGTCACAGAATGTTTGACACAAAAGCTCTCACTAACAGCTCATTATCTCAATTCTGGAGATGACCTTCAGCCCTGCATCAAAGACAAACCATCTCACTGGAGGGGAGGATTTACCTTGGGCTGCTTCACTTCCAGAGCTGATCGGGGCCACGCTCCAGAGTGTCTGCTGGAACGCTGCGTCCACGTGGAAGCTGCTGCCGCCATAGGACAGGTGCTATGGGGAGGAAAGGAAATGTCACAGCCACGCCCAGCACTCTCACCACACACGTGCTTCTGCCCACTCAATCCAGCACGCCAGCCTGGAGCTGTGCGCCCAGACTGCCACCCAGAAATGAAGAGACGAACAGAGAAAAGCTGGAGTTTCTGTTTGACTCGGTATTCTCCACCTTCAGTCTAAGAGTTATTAATGTAAGCCACTAATCAGAAAACACACAAATGAATATACTAAAATCAACTTATCCATCAAGATAGACTATTTTGTTTTGAGCCTTACCAATGGACAAAATTGTACAGCTAGTGGGTACTTAGCACTGAAATTATAACAAGTTTTATATGTATCACACTGATTTTTTTTTTTTGACAGTGAGTAGGTAAAGTCACAGGACCAATGTCCCAGTGTCACCAGGCCCTTTAGGAACTTTATCTGCAATTTGACACAATGGCCATTAGATGGTGATGTTTCCCAATAGGTACACAGGCCCTGACCATTTCTTCCATAATTCGTATATTGCAAATTTCAGATTTTCCCTCTTAAAAATAAAAATGCATTAAAATAGCACTTTGATACCCATAATATGAGTTCTCAAATGATAAATAAAGAATAACAAAATTATGTAACTGCTCTAGAATTTTACAGCCAAATGCCTTAATTATTTTGCTAATCATACCCTGGCTGCCTCTAGCACTTCAGACACACATGGAACACACACCTGTATTCTTGGGGTCATTTCAGTGGCAATCCCCAATGGTCTCACCATGATCCTGGGATATTTTCCAATGCCAAGGACAGCCTACACTTTCAAAGACTGGAACTGCCCCTGAACATTCCCAGAAACCGGACACCCCAGGGGGGTGTGGAGCATCCAGCCTGGCACCGCCCCGCGGTGAACTCCACACGCCTCACGACACCACAGGGGCCTCTTCCACCTAAAGGTGCTACTCTCAAGTCACTAACAAAGCAGGTATTTCATTATCTTTCTCTTGAAAACAAAACCAATAATTTTTTGACATCCATGTTGTTATCTTACCAATAATTTTTCCAATCAATAAGACTAAAGTTTAGCAGCTGATTGGCCAGCCTCTCAGCCAGCTATCTGCCTTTTTACCACCTCGCCACATTCGTAAGTACAATGCCAGCTGAGACTGGTTGATTGTGTTAAAATTCTCTATTTACAAATAAATCCCATACTGCAGCTTCCACAAACCAGGAAAATATTTTTCCTTCACAGCTATCATCACACAAGGTGATTTAGTGTATCTTTCTCTCTCCGTCTTGTGAGCTGTCTGGCACAGGTTCACAGCCTAGCAACGTCATTCAATAAACAAGGATTTGCAAAAACCATTACCTTCAAAGGAGAAGCAGCGTAAACCTCAAGAAACATTTTACATTGTTCCACAAAGGCACCTATTTTAATGATCTGAGCCAAAGTAACAGCACACACAGAGAAGACTTTCTGTAAAATCAGGTGGCTCTCACCAGACCATGAACAGGTAGGCCAAAACACCAACACTGAAATTTTTAGTTTTGACATATTATGACAAATAAATAATCTTCATTTGTTCATTCATTGTGGTTCATTGACTACACTACCATATGAACAGAACATCCTCTACACCCCAGAGGTGCTTGGAATCCAGGAGGGAAAGTGATACGCACAAAAGACTACAACTCAGTACCAGAGAATGTAGGTGAGTCGTAATCAAAGCGCGACAGGAGTGGAGAAGGGAGAACACTTCAGCCAGCCCACCTGCGGCAGAGGTCCTGGACTGCGGCTGGAGGGCAGGTGGCACTCCCACAGGCGAGATGGGGTTCCGCGGGGATGAGGGCTTGGAGAGCCGGTAGGGTCGACCTGGGCCTCCCCTTTATGTACTTAGACATGTCGACTCCAAGTACGTCTGCACATGTGTGGGATTTTGGTATGTGTATTAATAATGTTAACTTGCTAAGTGTAAATATTTAAAACATGTCAAAATTGTTTCAGAACAACTTTGGAGATTTTTGTTTTTAATTCACCAGAAACCTCGTCACTGGAAGCAGCCTGAGCCTTGCTGGCCTTCTGAGAGGCTTCAACACGGGGACCAGTGTAACAAAGAGAAGGGGCACCCAAAGGGCAGAGATGCAGGGACAACAGGGCAGTGGGCCTGGCCATGGGCTCATGGCACATGCTGACAGACAGTGAGGGAGGGCCCGCAGTGAGGCCTTGACAGATCAAGGGCCCTATACTTCAGGCAGCGAAAAAAACAATACATGTGATAGAACCATAAAAGCCTAAAGATGTCAGTCTGTGGAAGAAAGTCCAAAAGTGTCTCTAAGAACATATTACACCATACAGTTCTAAACAATGTCCACTCTTGTCAAGAGAACATTCTCTAGGCACAATGATTTGAAATGCTCCTATTGAGTTTTCCTGCTTAAGCAGCAAAGGGAACTATGAGTCAGACCAAGGTCAAGTTAGATCTGTCAAGTCAGGTCGGAATGTAGATAAGGGGAACAAAGGCAAAAATAAATACATGGGACTGTATCTAACTAAAAAGCTTTTGAACAGCAAAGGGAACCATCAACAAAATGGAAAGGCAACCCAGAATGGGGGAATATGTTTGTAAATCATACATTCAATAAGGGGTTTATATCTAAGATATTAAAGTACTCCATACATCTCAATAGCAAAAAAAAGATGATGATGATGATAATCCAGTTAAAAACGGGGGGGAAAGCCCTAAATATACATTTTTTCAAAGAAGATATACAAGTGGCCAACAAGTTACATGAAAGGATGCTCAACATCACTCATCACCGGGGAAATGCAAATCAAAACCAGAATGGGATACCACCTCGCCTCTGTCAGAATGGCTGTTACCAATAAATCAACAAACAGCAAGTGTTGGTGAGGATGTGGAGAAAAGGGAACCCTCATGCCCTGTTGGTGGGAATGCAGACTGGTGCAGCCACTGTGGCAAACAGTATGGAGTTAACGCAAGAATTTAAACTCAGAACTATTGTAGGGTCCAGCAATTCCACGTGTGGGTGTTTACCCGTAGAAAACAAAACACTGATTCAGGGGAACACGTGCTCCCCGTGTGCACTGCAGCATGATTTACAGAAAGCCTCTGAAGCAACAGCAAATGGTTCCAAAGGAATTTTTTTTCCTCTTGGACATTGCTGAAAAAAGAATGAAGATCTTATTTCATAGTAGTAGAATATGAAACAGCAAGATGAGAAAAGACACCATCTGGATGAGTGGTTTACAACCATTTCCAGGGGTAAGACCCCTTACTCCTAGGTAACCGGGGCACAGCCTGAGCGTGAAAGCAGCAGGGGGAACGAGCAGAGGTGGTGCCTGGGGCCCTGGGGCCAGCAGGGCTCTGGGCCCCCCCTGGGCCCAGACTCTGCCCCAGGACACGACCAAGACCAGCCCCCGTATATCAGCCCCAATCTGGGCAGCACCGGACAGCAGCAAGTTGTGCTCAGATCTTTAACCATCGCTGTCAGTGCACGAAAACTGGACCAGATTCAATAGATACGAACAAAAAAATTTTTATTTTCAGTCCTCACTTTTAACGAATTTACAAATTTTTAACCAGTCAGCACTTCTCGGCAGGAGCACCTCGCTCTCGCTGACAGGCCTTCAGCTGAAATCGGCTGCACAGCCCTCTGCTCCTTCCCTCCCGCCTTCCTCTTTTCTTCTGCCGGAACGTCTGCAGTTTCCTCGAACGCCCTGAACGGGCATGGATCTCCATGTAAACTGCAACTTACTGAGCATTACAAATACTTGGGTCGCCCACATACTGAGCATTACAAATACTTGGGTCGTCCACAGAGCGGAGTCTTACTTGGTTGGGAGCATTTCATCCCTTCACCTCCCTGTGAGCGAGGTCCTTTATTAGCCCATGCAGACGAGGAACCTGAGGCCCCGCGAGGCTCTGTGACACCAGGGCTCACGCAGAGGGGGCGGGGGAATGTGGGAGATCTTGCTGGGGCGGCGGGAACACAGGCCCCACGAGCCCACTGGGTGCAACAGCAGCACGCTCTATTTCCGACTTTGTCTCAACCACCGTCCGCGGCGGCCTCACGGACATTTTACCGCACCCCTTTTTATATCTGTCCAATTACTTTTCAACCTCAAAATAAAAACTATGCTCTGCTAGTCACTGCTGTTGCACTCACAAGACAGTCTGGTCTGAAGGCACGGGTGCCTTGAACGAGGTGCCCAACCACCAGTGAAGGCGACCTGTACCCCCGGCTCAGGCCACCGGACGCGGCAGAACCACCACTGAGTGGCGTTCACCCACACACTCCTACACAACAAGGAGATGAGGCTGATGGAAAACCATTTCTAAATAATAATAATATTTTACATTGGCATCTTTCATCCTTCCATTGATTTCAATCTGCAAGTTGCTGCATATGATTCTTTTTTACTAAAAAAACAATTCATTAAATAAGTTTAATTAAATATATACTGGCCTCACCCCCCAATTAAAAATACCTTTGATGATTAAACATAAATTTGTCTTCATTCTCCCATTTCCAGCCCCTACCTTTTGAAACAATGCAATGTCAATGAGAGACTTCAACTTTTTAAGATTTATCTATTTCTCCTTTCTCAACATGGCAAGTATTTCTCATGTAAGAATTTGCTTCCCTCAATGTCCAAACCAGGAGTCGCAGCCGCACTAATGCAGCCCTCGCACTGGCTGCGGTAGAGCCCGCAGAGTCCCCAGTCCCTGATGAGCAACATCGAGAGCTTCAACAAAGTGACCCGGGAGCGGGCACCAGCCACGCCGGGAGCATGCCGTCCAGGGCACACAGGACACTGGCCTACATGGGCTGGTGAGCGGCACTTCCACACGCCACCTCACCTCCCTATTTGGGGAGTCCCTTCCCTCTCATCAAATGGAGACACGTGCTTGTTTCTAAGCAACGTTCTGGATAATCTGCAATCCAAACTGGAAGAGAGAGTTTCATGGGCCTGTCCTTTGTCATCTCACCAAGTCCGTGCCCCTTCCCACACTTACCAAGTACCTTTCAGAGGACACACTCACTAGGATGAGGTCATCACCAACGCGCACCTTCTCTCCTTCTGAGCGCTGCTTGGAGGCGGGGTGGATGGTCCACCAGCAAGCCTCACCTGCAGGAGGGCGAGCAACACAGAGGAGGCGCTGAGTTTAAAGTCCAGCCAGGTGCTGGGCTGACAACTCCAAAACAAAGAGGAAATAAAACATGTCTTCAGAGCAGTCAGCCTCCTTAAAACAAAATTGTCCTGTTCACACCACTTTCAGGAATTTGAAATTTAGTGCAACTTAATCTCTGACCATGAACATCGAGAAAAGGAGGGCGAATTAGATTAGGATAAGATGTACCAAAATGCTTATCACAGAACTGGCTGTGACATTTTGGGAAGACTGGTGTCTTGCCCTCTGCCCCCAAGAATTGCTCTGATACTTGCCTATGCTAATGCAAGGCCAAATCCACCAGTCACGCAAACCTGACTTTGTTCATCACAAAACCACGTGTCAGTGCCCTGTGCGTGTTGCTCTGTGATAATATCTAGTTTCTGCCATTTGATTTTCAGAAGGACTTGGGGTTTCGTGATGTGACATGGTAACAATTTAAAGGACTCTCTGCTTTCTGGGGGAGGTTGATTTAAATGGGCACAACTGCTATCATCTAAACTTTACCATCCTGTGCCTTATTTTATTTTCTTGTTTTAAAATGTGTTTGTTTCCATTAATTTAATGGTAAAAGAGAACCCCATTATAGAAAGATACATTATAAAAATATCTGAGTAGAATCAAATGCTTTAGAAGTCATGCATCAACCTCATGGGCCACACACTCATCCTTTATTTTTCCATGCTATTACCTAAGACATGAATTACCATACAATTCTTAGGTAAAAATGGAATAGAAGTAATAATACATTTATCTGTTTGGTGCCTGGGAAACTTGGAATTTGTGCAAAAGGCAATGTGTTGGTCTATTTAAAAAATTAAGTTGGCAAATATAGCTTTATTTTTACCCACTTGTAGTCTGTGAAAAATCTGGACAACCAGAAAGTATTTCAAAAAGAAGGTACGTGAGGGATGGCTGGATCCCACCCATGAAATGAACAGTTTAATGACGGTTGAGCTATTCCCTTCCATTCTCCGTTCTCCTTGGTCTTTTATTTATTTTTAATTTAAAAAAGTCATTCATACTCACTGTAAAAAATAAAATAACCAAATTACACAAAGGTGTATAAAGTGTAAAGCCAGAACACTGAGAACCAAAACAAAAATAAACCTTGTGTTCTCCTATCCTGATTCTCTAAAAAAAAAAAGTGTTACTATACACATTTTTTTTTCAAAAACGTGTAAATCCGTGTCATATCTATTTGGATAAATATGTCGCTTGATGCTCTGTGTTTGAATGTTGACACTGAGTATGTTACTTAAAAACCTTTAAAGATGGAAGATGACAGATAAAGACATGCGGCAATGCTTCATAAGCTAACCAGTGCCATTAATACGGTCAACTGCCAGTAAGGCCTAGAGTAAATAGCGCTCTTCCCATCGAAGCCTTCGGAAGAATAAGGTCTGAGGCTCGGTTTGAACAGCCGGCTGATTCTGTGGGAACACCCAACCGCGAATACAGCACACACACCCTCCTCATACTGAACCTCCCACGGGCAGTCGTGCATTCCTCCCAGCTCCGTCCACGAGAACCATCGCCGGGTTTCCTGGCTTCCGACCCAGCTCGATCGTGTGCTCACCTGTCGTGTCCTCTTGCAAGCCGACGTCGAAGGCCAGTTTGTCAGTGGAAGACCGGGAGGTGGACAGGCAGCACAGGTACTGAAGGACACAGAATCAGGGCTGTCATGACACACCTGTGGTCCCGCCCAGGGTAACTCTGACAGGATCTCGAGTGAGTCTATCCCTGCTATGTCACCCCACCCCCTTTCAAATCTGTGCAAAGCCTGGGTCTCTGTGGGGAGGGCAGGGCATGCTTCCTCTCCACTGCAGATGGAGGAGGCACGTGCCGTGGGTGAAAGGCCAGGAGCGGCTGTCTGCAAATCTCCTCCCCAAGGGACATCCATGACCAAAAGCAGAAGCAGAACCTGACCTGACACTGATCTTCTCCTTGAGGGAAACTTGAAAACTACTCACTTCTGTCTTCCGGTTGTGCTTCCATCTTTAAAGTTCAACTCTCTGACACTCACCCAGCACTGAGGTGCCTCCCGGCATGAGCTTTTATCACGTGCGTGGTCTTCCATTTACTTTTAATTCCAAACGTCACTTGTGCAACACCATCATCTCCCTACTTTTCCTCCTACTCCCTTAAGTGCTCCTAACTCTACATTCTTGAACACCAAGCTTACGCTAGTGTTCCAAGCCACCACCCCTCCCCCACCCTAACCTCGGAGACCTTGCTAAGTGTCACGGTAATGAGGGGCAGAAGGGAATGGGTGTGAGCTCAAGACGCACCACTGTCTGCACCAACCACATGCACCAACACAGAGGGGGCCCTGCGAACTGCCCAAGACAACACTAGGGACCCAGCCATCCAGACTCTCAAAGTCTCCCTATGCAAGAGGGTCCACCTCAGGGGGCTCTGTGAAGGAAAGGCCAAGGACAGCCGAGCTGGCACGTGAGGTGGGGGTCGGTGTCCCGGGGACGTAAAGGGAAGCTGGCCCCATTCTGTCCCCTGACTGTGGAGCACTGGCTCCCAGAGTCATAGCAGAGATGCTCCCAGGTCCCCCACGCACTCCACCAGCATAGGAGTGCAAGTCTGACTATGGACTCTAATCTAAATGTACTAAATGTCTAAATTTATGCAAGACAAAGAAACAATTTTATAATACTGGCTCCCCAGGCAGAAACATAAAGCGATCCCTATTAAAGGCTTCTGTAACATTTCTCAGTAACATTGCAGCTATCGCTGTTAGTACCCACGCCCCGTCTACTGCCCACAGCCCCTGTGAAGCAGATACTATAATTACTCCATGTTAATCAAGTTCCAGGAGGGCAAAGGCTTGTCTATTTGCTGCTACACCCAGCACCTAGGACAGTACCTAGCACACAGCAGGTGCTAAATGATACTGACTCGATGAATGGATGGAACTTTCAGATGCAGTTAGAGGCTTGAAGAGGGACAGCGGGGCACCCAAGGCAGGATGGCCTGCGGGGAGCAAACGTGACCCAGGTCCTGCAGCCAAACCCATGTTCTTCACTTCTGCTGTGCACAGAGAGCACCTTCTGAAACAGAACCTCACACTCACTATTTCATGCAATGTGTGTTTTGATTTCTAGTGAAGATAGGATTCTTTCCCCAAGGTTCTAATGTGTGATTGCTATATGTAAACAAGTTATTTAAAAAGAGAGAGAGAGCATGTGCATATATCATCAACTTGTTGTTCCACTTATTGATACATTCATTGGTTGCCTGCTGTACATGCCCTGTGCCCTGATCAGGGATCAAACCTGCAACCTTGGTGCATCGAGACAATGTTTCAGCCAACTGAGATGCGCAGCCAGGACCACAAATAGGTCGTTTCTATCTGCTCGCCTTGAATCCAGCCACTTTATTCCGCCAAGTGTTTCCTTTATTGTGTTCCATCCTTGCTATGACGGCCAAGGCTTCCATACAACATGAAACGGCCCAGTCTTGTCTTTCTTCATCTGTTTTTGTGTGGCCAAGAACGGCTTCAGCGTTTCACAGTGAGTATGATGTTGGTTACTGATCTGACTGATACTTTCTTTATCATTGAGGAAATAATCATCAATGCTATTTTATTAGAAATGGATGTTACATCTTATTAAAACTTTTTCAGCACCTGTTAAGATGATCGGTTTTTCTTACTTGAGCTGTTGATGTGATGCTGCATGCTAAAGAAAGTTACTAAGTCCTTATCAAATTCGTATCTGCACTTTCCCTGTCCTTCTGAGTTTCATTAACCAGACATTTCCCATCAATATTCATGATGGAGATGGACAGTTTGGTGTGTATGTGTGTGTGCAGTTTTCGTTGTTGTTCTTGTTGTTTTGATTATTGGTGTGGAGGGTATGCTTATTCTCCTGCTCTGGAATCATTGAGATACTTTAAGAATTACCTTCCTTGTAAAAGAAATAATCGACTATATTATACTTCCAGATGTAATCTATCATGTAGTCACTAAAATCAGGTTGACAGAGAATTTAAATCACATGGGTAACACTTGGGCTGTGATTATATGTGAAAAAAATCAGGATATAAATTTAGTTATGCAGTAAGATCTCAACTATGTAAAAATAGTTAAAGAAAGCCTGAATTTTTTAGTGTCTTTGACCATTTTCTCTCAGTGTGATCATGAAAAATTATTTCTTCTGTCACTTCCAAATCTTATAGAATAAATATGTATTGTTTATATAATTACAAAGAGGCTTTAAAATAGAATGAAACTGCTGTATGTGTTACATGTTTTGCACATGTAAGCATAAAAGTTAGCAGCACATACAACACGCAGGTGCAGTGGAGTCGGAGCCTGGGAGGCGCTCAGTGGGCGTGAGGACAACTGGGCAAAAGAGGGGCTGCTGTGGGGAAGGGCAGGAAGTTAGTGGAACAGAGACAGGGGAACTCAGGGGTCGATTTTTAATATTACCTTTCAGTAAAAACACTTCAACTCTTTAATAAATAAATTGTTTAAAACAACATCAGAAATGAGAACAGCTTTTCCACAACTTATTTCACCTTTCACTAGTTTGATAAACTAGTCTAACCAGCGTGAGACACCAAGAACAGAAGCCATACAAGGATGGAGTCAAAGGACTGAAGGCCACGTCACGTAAGCTAACCCCCGCCCCGTGAACGAGCAAACCCAGGCCCGCCGCACGCTGCACTCACCATGCCGCTGCAGGAGTGGCGCAGCAGGATGGCGTGGCCGTAGAGGAGCGTCCGGTGACCACCGCCTTGAGCAGTCTGGGGAGGGAGGAGAAAGAGTCAACAGGAAAAGAAAACCAAAGCAGTAAACTTACCGAAGTCAATAGCAAGCTCTCAGGGAGCAGCTGGAGGCATGGCGGACAGGAAAGTGCCCTGCGGAGACAACCGAGGCTGTCGCATCTACCTGCACCGCTGGCAGGCAGGTGACCAAGCAGCTCTGGGAGAATGAGCGGGTGCCAGTAAATACTTAGCGTGATTCGTGATTACTGAGTCCCAGTTCTCCCCTCCCTGCATCTCCCACTGCACTGTGGTCTGCATCGGGCAGGGACGATGGCACTCTGGTCACGGTCGCCATGCGGGGAACATTCAGTTGCAGCCCTTTCCAGCCGCCTCCCACACCCTCTGCTCTGACGAACAGAATCTCCCAGCCCTACACACACCACGCTGCCCTCCTGCCAGGGTCTTAGAACGTGACATCGCTCCCTGTGGTCTTCAAACTCAGGCTCAGGGCTACCTCCTGTAGGCAGCCTCGTCCGATTTCCCTCAGCTCTCCTGCCACTGCAGGTACACACAGCACGTGGCCTTATCCCTGTGCACCATAAGCGCCTTTCTCGTCTGGACCAGACTGTGAGCTCCTCAAGAACCGGGGGTGGAGCCATCAGCACAGAGCACTCAATAAGCCTTTGGCAAGTGGGAAACCAACGTGCCGAAGCCGGTCCTGGGGTGGGGGGGACTGTGAGTCAAGGCAGCGTGGTCTGCACGTCCAGGTGTTGAGAAAGAGGAAGGGACCTGGACCGCAGCGGTGGGAGATGGCAGGAGGCCCAGAAAGTCACCGAGGGGCTTGCAGTGTCTCCTGAAGGAGAAGGGTCTTGGAGGGTCTCAAGGATGGGACCGATGACAACTGACTCTGATGGCACCTCCAGAAATGCAGAGTCGGCACTTTGTAACATCAATACCATTACGTCTTTTCTGACTAAAAATACACCCCTCCCAATTTTTCTAAATGATTTCTTAAAATTTTATTTCCGTGTTATGCTTGAAAGACCTCAGGACCATTCTTAAAATAGACAGTGAAAGTTATTCAAATTCTAATAAAAACTGCTTTTAAAACAAAAGGACCACCGCTCTTCGCGTGCGGAGGGAAAGAGGGGGAGTCCACTTTCCGAAGTCGTCCCTCCTCAGAACGCAGCCTCTGTGGGGACCGCCATCCCCTCCCGCGGCAGGTCTCACTTGCTGCGTCCGGGGGCGGCGATCTTTGCCTTCTCTGATTCACACACTCTGACGGGAGCTTAACTTTTCCCGAGAGACACAAGCTCCGAAGCCACGACGCCCAGAGACTCCCCTCGCACAGACGGTCACAGCGGACGATCGAAATGGGGTTTTCACGGCGCTGACTCAGCCGGAAGGGCCGGTGCCCCTCCCACGCCGGGCTCTGCCCGCCCACCTCACGGGTCACGTGAACCTGCCTGTGCACCTCGCATGTTCACATGAACACATGTATAAATGTCGTAACTGGCTGAGGTGAGAGGAGACATTGTAGTGTCTAAATTTCCTTCCAACTATAGATTTTATACAATTAGACAATTATAGATTTTAACTGGAGATTTCCTTACCACTTACAGGCTGATTATGCCAGATTTAGTTTTAATAGAGCCGGTAAAAGCATGCACGTAACCCACACTACACTGACTGCATCACTGTCACCACAAAGCGATGTGATGTCACGTGGGCTGCAGTACTCTTCTTCTAACCCGTCATTTTAAATACTGATCTAATTGACTCTATTTCCAGAAAAGTAAAGTATGGGATTTCTACTCTTGGGCTGGCTGGATAACTTCATTCACTCAGCAAACATTCATTAAATGAATTGTGTATGGGGATGAACCCAGAGTGACTTCTCCAGGACTGGATGACGTCCTGTTTCAGGTGGGCCAGGGCATGTTCCTGCACGCCCTCAGTGAGGAGACAGCCACCACTGCTGGGTGGCAGCTGCATCAAAAGCAGAGGGATTCCATCCCCTGGAGCAGGGCCCATCTTCCCTTGGCCACCCACAACAAGCCCTAAGCACACAGCAACGAGGCCGCACTGACCTGTGGGAAGCCCGCCAGGATTGACTAGATTAGAGTCCATCAAGCTAATGGGGCAGTGAGCCTGAGACTGGCCTGCCTTCCAGATCACACTTCAGAAAAAAATCTTGGTGATTTTGGAAGTTAACATGTTCATTGTTCCTTGGTATCTAAAACATGAGCAAAGTAAGCAGTGCTTTCAACTGCACCAATAAAAAGGAGAATTAGGAAATTTATGCTTTATGTAACAAAATAAGCCTTTGGTTTCCAATAATGCCATCAAGACTTCAGTCCTGCTAATTCCCCAGTAAATATCACACACACACAAACACTCTTTCCTATTTATTCAAAAAAGACGTATGGGTGTCTACTGCCTGAGAGTACGGGGCCTGTGCCGAGACTGGTAGAAGTAATAAGCTCGCTGTCTGTCTCTTGCCTATTCATTCATTCAACACTGATATACTGAATCCCATGTAATCTCCTTCAAGCCATCTGCACACTATCAGGAAAGAGGATGAAAGTTTGAGAACTATTCTCTGTCCATTCCCCAGTACCTTCAACCCTGTAATGGATGACCAAGCCCTCCCAGTAGAAGCACTACCTGGAACTTACACGTCCTTACATTTCAACTCGGGACTTGGCCCTATCTGCCCCTGCTAATGGAACATCAGTCCACCCACCCCAGCTACCCTGCTGTGACCAGCTGAGCCTGTGGTGTCCCCAGGGAGCTGTCACCAGTCCTGTGCAGCCAGGCCGTGGAACTGAGGCCCCGGTCAGTTTCGCAGGGCTGCTGGGTCCCGCACATAGTAGGCATCTACGCTGAGGGGCCCTTGCCCTCTTGGGGGAAAAGTCACAACCACCATTTTCACACTCCTCCCTCTGAGTGATTCTGGTACTGCAGAGTCAAACATCATTTAATAAAGGGTAAAATTGGACTTTTTAAAAATAGCAGTTAAAAATTGTTTTCAGATCTGTAGGTGGGTTTCGGTCCCAATGCATGAGATGACTGAAAGAATGTCACATAACAGTCTTATAAAAAACAAACCCGTGAACTCTAATTGGAATTACAAGTCCAGAATACATGAAAAACACCTAAGCAAGATGCTGTCTGTATTCTGAAGAACCTCGCCTTGAGTTTTCCACAATTACTTAACACCGATTTGGTGCCATTAGGCACTCTGCTGCCACTAGCGTCCCAGGGTGCAGCGGCAACGGCCCAGCGTGTGGGCCCATGCTGTGAGCAGCAGTTTTGATGGAAGTGCTTCTACACTTGCATTGACCTGTAGTAACACGCAGCCACAGGGCACCATTCACTCACCTGCCGTCCTCGTCCTTCTCTGGGGGTTCGGGGGTGAACTGGACCATTGCAGCTGCATTTGGGATTTTACTGTCATAAGCTTAAGATGTACCAGCCAAAGAATATGAATACATAAAACCAGAATAATACTGTCTAAAATCAACTGAGGAGGTCTATATAGACATGAAAATTATAGGTCTATATTTTTGTTGTTTTGGGGGTTTCTTGCTTATGTTTTTTAAATACATGCTTGTACTACACATTTACATATTAACATCTCAAGTATTACATTAAAATTAATTTGCTCACTATACAACATCTAAATATTGTAAGGTTTTCTGTTTTCCTAATCACTTTTTTCTGCACAAAAATGCTATGTTGTTAATGTAAGGCATTTCTCATAATTCCAGGTCCTTAGTATTAGAGAGATTCCTAAAAAAGAAACTACGCTCTATATGCAAACTTTTCTGTATCCCTTGCCTGCTAGCTCATAACACGCCACCTTGGATGCAGGAGGATGAACTCTCAAAAGGCGTTTATTGATGTGGGAAAAACTGAACCATACCTCCAAACTCAAAAACAGCAGACAGCACAAAGGAAACTGTCTCAGAACACTTCTCTCAAAGCGCCCCGATGTGGCGGTTTACCTTCAGACATTAATGCTGAGGGTAATACTTGGTAATGAACTGTTTCAGGGAGAAAAATGGGAAAGCCTCCTCCTGTGTAAGTCTGCTGCCCGCCCGGGAGAGACCTTCCAGTGCAGATGTGAACGGGGGACCGTCAGGAGCAGCACCAAACTGCTCGGCTTGACATTCCGGTCCCCTGGGTCCCTTAAAGCAGGGACACGCCCACTGCCCTGCCACCTTTACCACAGGTTCCCAGGATGAGTTAATTAATTAACAAGAAATCCACCCTTGGAGCAAAATAAATGTGTGTGAGGCCCAGCTGCACACTGCCGAAGGTCCCTGGGAAGGCTTCCTCGCCACGCACATCTTCCTTGCCACACGCCTCTTCCTCACCACATGCGTCTTACCCAAGTCTCCTAGGGTGCACGCAGGCCTGCACAGGACTGACAGCAGCAGAAATGGGCCCCATCACAAGGAAACATCTGTCTGGTCCTAGCAGACTAAACGACACCTGTCCATGTATGAAGCCCAAAGCAAATCATGACTGAAAGAGAAAAGCTAAAGAAAATGTAGCATCTTTCTCCTTTTAAGTGGTTTACAGCTTCATAATTGAATGCACATACCCTCTGCTTAGTCAGTCACACCGGAAACTTTCCAGGCAGTCCAGCGCAGGTGTGCAAACCTGTCATTAGCTCTGGCCTTGCGGTGAAATGAATCGGAGCCTAATCACATTGTCTTAGGTATACCAGCTGGTTGCAACGGATTCTGCATCATCTATCTGGCATTGATTTTTATGTGAGCCTGCTGTCTTGAAAAAGCCTAAAATCTGTGTTTCTGGCAACTGCTGTGCCCACCCTCCTCCCCAAGGTGAGGAATGGGGACAGGGTGAGGCCACTGAACAAGGACAGTGAACACGGACTTAGCAGAAAGATTGAATTTTTTCCAAACCCAATTTCATTATTTATACATCGATATGTGTAAGGAGAGGACATATCCCTGTGTTGCTCCTGTTTGTAACAGTCTCCCAACCAACACCCTTATATCATGACGTGTCCGAATGAGCGTTGCGGTCCTTTATAGCCTTCCAATATAAACATAGTGTTTTCTGCTGAAACAATTTAGCTGCAGTCACTGAAATCTGGAAAATGTGCTGTGATCCTATTGAGAGATGCTGCAAATCTCAGCCCTGCCCTGCCCAAGCTATCAGCCTCTTGCAGTCGGCATGGACACCCAGGTGTCTGCAGCCTCAGGCCTCCCGCTCCAGCATCTGGTCAAGTGTGCGTGACGGACTTAGCCCAGCGGCTCAAACTGACATAAACTAACTGCTTCCTCTTCTCCTGAGCAGACTCTTAAATCTACACCTGAATTTTGATTTAATAATTTTCAGTGTTGGTATCTTTTGAAATTTTAAAAGTTATAAGATTTCATTAACTGAATAATTTCTCTATACATTGTTGCTTGACTTTTAGGCTCAAAAATTAAATGTTGTGAATGTTCTATGAGACAAGTAGCAGGTACAGAAAACTGAAAGAAAAACTTTGTACTTTTTGTCCCGAATAACGACATCCTGCTCCCCCCTTCACTGACACGACTGTGTGTTTTACTCTCCTTTCACCTGTCTCCTTCTCAAACCTTTCTATTTTCTATGTGGCTGAAAAATGAAAAGGAGTTAAAGTATCTTCACTTCTTCTCGAGTAAGTCATCCTCTAGTAGCTTCCTGGTGCCTCTTCTAATCTCCCAGTGTACAAATTTTCTATTATATTCATGCAGTAGTGCTCAAACACAAAACAGCTAATGTGATCCTCACAGTAAAAATGCTAAACGAAGAGAGATGGAAAAGAGTGTTTTAATGGGAAAATTCTTAACACTGGCTGTAGACACACAACAGCATGGTGATGCCCAGAGGGAAAGGGGGTGGGGACGCAGAACAGGGTAAAGGGGTGAACAGTGATGGAGGGAGACTTAACCTGGGGTGGTGAACATGCAGTATATGGATCGTGTGTTACAGAGTTGTATCGGAAGCCTGTATAACTTTATTAATCAATATCACCCCAATAAATTAAATAAAAATAAACTTAATATGTTATAGTATGACACAAAGATGTCAAATGCTGTTTAAGTGGACAAATCTAAATGTATGACTGACTCATTTAAATTTAAAAGTTCCAAAGTTTGCTTTAATTTCTAAAACTTTAAACGCGAAGTGCCATGAATTCAAAAATTAAATCAAACTTAAAATGTACAAAGCATAATACATACAGCAGATGATCCAATGTCTTACCTTCATCATGAATTTCTGTAGGGGGCATAGAAAAAGAGAAAGAATATTAAACACATACTATTTCAAAGACTTACTTTAAAATATCCTTATCTATAAAGGTTTCTAAACGGAGTTGTGAACAATGAACACACAAAAACACATTCAGCGTGTTGTCAAAACAAAACTTAGTGTCAACTACAGGAGGCTAAAAGCCGGAGCGAGCAACTCTGACGTTTTTACATTAGTTCTTCCTTGTTCTGTGAAGACGTGCTGCTCTACCTCAGTGTGTGAGTCAACGTACAACACAGCTAAACAGCAAAACAAAACAAAGATACCATCTTAAGATTATACTGTGAAAATGCTTTTAAAACTTTTTCATTTCTTCTTTGGCATAAAATCACAGTGAGATAAACGGCAACACAACTCATTCAAGCAAAAACAGTGAGTTAGAAACACGGTAGATCATGGACAACGTGCCGCAATGAAAATGACCTTGAGCAGTTCCCTAGACACTACAGGAAGTGAGATGTGAATTCAAAAAAAATCACAAATTTTATGTGGAAATAACACAGCTTTTCCTCATGATATATAACAGCTATTTTTCTTCTATATAACCTAACATGTGCGTATATCCCTTTGTCTTTTTTTATGTCCGTAAAGTGTCTTTGGCAACATACACAAATGAAAAAGAGCTAAGAAGAAAACATGACATTACTTTTCCAAAAGTAGGGCTAAATGTAGTTGTCACAAGCCCCTACGTCCTAGAGAGAACAGACACACAGGCCCACCCTAGTTCTACAGAAACCAGCACATTTTCTGACCTAGACACTTACAGATGCCACAGCTGGTCCTCTGGAACCTAAACACAGGGCCATGTATATATGACTCAATGGCAATTCTACTGGGACTGAGTTTTTTAATTTTTAATATTGTAAGTTTAAGAAGAAACTGTAAAGAACCATTCCATGTTAAGCTTAGAAAATGCAGGCTGCTCAGTGACATGCCTGCAGCTGGCGTCAGTGGTAAGCGACATCAGGAAGTTACTGTCCTTGTGAAACTGAACGATCACATGCCTGCATGTGACCAATAGTGAGGCAGGTATCTCGGAAAAATCATTTTAACCCTTAAAGCAAAGAAAAACATAACTCCAACACTTTGCTACAGAACATGGTTTATAAGAGACGCTTCTTCACGAGGTCACACTGACCCAGGTTTGGAGACTTTCTTTCAGAAGTGTTGTCAGCCTGACTCTGTCGCCGTCCAGGCTGAGCCACTTTAGATCTGCGCTAAGTAGAGAATGGATATGGAGTCGCTGAGAATTGGGAATGTCTCAGGTGTGTACGACGGCGGGCAGAGCATGTCACAGGTAGCAGTAAAACAGTGACTTCTAGCAATTAGCAAAGACTCGGATAGCCTTTTTTGCAAGAAGGAAAAACAGCACGTGCAAAAGACACATTACTTTAAAAAGATAATCAAGAACATGAAAGGATTATTTGTGGCATTACTTTTATATAATCTGCCTATTGGTCAAGTTCTCCTAAGTGGTAGCTATTAACCAGGTTCTAACATTGTGAGATTTTCAAAAGAAATCATTGAAGGGCAAGAAAGCACGATGCATGGATACAAAGAGTATAAATATGTTATTTTAATCTCAATGTAAACTGTACATAGTTACAAAAAAGGGCAACAAAAAAGTACAAAAATTCTTTAAAAGTTGATGCCATAATTTAAAAAAATGAAACCCATGCATAAAGTTAAATATTGAAGAAAATAGCATCAATTTAGGTATAAAGAATACCATTTTTATTCTCACAGTTAGTGTAATAAAGGAATTAATTATTTTATTGCCCTCATGAAAATTTCACCAGATGAGAGCCCGCATTTCAGCGGACCAGACCCAGAACAAATGGCCCTGAAGACCCTAAAGGCCATAAATACAAGCAGAGCCCAGGCACCGGCACAGGCTCCGAGCTTTCTACCTCAGAAGAAGACCTAGGAGAATGATCCACTCACACAAAAATACAAAGGGAGAACTTTAGTCATTTTAGGCTCAAACTGCAAATGGCTTTTTTTTTACTCAATGTCCCAATTTAGTTTACTTAGGAAGTGACAGGTCAGATGCTTCTTAAACGTGCTTCTTAAATGTGAGCAAGAGCTGGGGGCGTAACCCCAATGTGCAACATCAGCATGAAAACTAGAAAGAAGCACGTTTCATGTTGAACTCACACACAGGTGGCCCTGGGAGTCTGGGGGGGGGTGACAAAAAGGAGCCTGTGCCATGTGACCTGCCAGATCTGAAGGGCCTCAAGCATTGCCTTAGCATATGTCAATGATTATGAGTAGAAAAATCAAACAGCAACACTTTATGCTGAAACTTGTCATCACACATTAGACATTGATTACATTCCACCTGCTGCTGCCACAAAGAAACAGTAACTCAGGTGATACAAAAAGCTCCTCCACTTAATTATGTCTCTCAGTCCAACCCCGAAGATTCTTAACTGTTAGTTCAATGGCATGAAATCACAAGTCATTAAAACATTAATACTCTACACATGGATTTGTCTTAGAAGAAATTTTTGTGGGTTAGTGTTAGGGTGAAGATAAAGGTAAGAGTTATGGTGAAGTTAGGGCCATAACTGGTGTGACAGTTAATGTGTTTAGAATGAAGGTGTGATATGAAATTAGAACAAAAGTTAGGGCGAGTGTGCGAGCAGATGAAAGTGAGGCTGAGGTTTGGGGTGACTCTAAGAGTTCGCACAACAATAGGTGAGGGTGAGTTATGGTAGAGTGAGGTTCACGGTCAGATTTATCATGAGGTTCAAAAACACAGTGAGCAAAAAGGGGAGGGTGTGGTCCGGGGGATAGTTTGGTGAAAAAAGGGTGTGGTTTAGAGAAGGTTTTAATGAACCTTTACCAAAATATCATCTCAGAAATTATTTTAAAAGGGAAATAAACAGCAAAGACACAAGACATACACTTGGAGACTACAAGAAGGAAGGCGTGACCAAACGTGACAACAGACCAGGGCAAGGTTCTGGCTCAGGGGCCCTAAGGTAAATGCCCAACCTTGCACACAAAGCACCCTCACTAGCCTCCTTCGCCACCTGTCCTCTCCATGTATCAAGCTGCCAGGGTTTTCCTTAGTCTTCTGACAGCCTCTCCTTACAAGTGGGGATGACCTGCTGGACTTCATTATGTTGAGAAAAGGAGTCATCTCACCACCAAAGACCTGGATTTGTTGGTGGCTGTTTTAAATGAACAATGACTAATGATGCTCCCAACCAATGTGAAAGGACAAAAGAAATCGAAGACTAACTACTTCAAGTTCCAAGCATCTACCAATACACACTACCCAACAGTACATCTGGATATACATTTGTGGAAAACCTCGACTACTGCTGTTATGATAAAAATATCCATGTACATGCTCCATTTCCTAGGGTCCCCACTGAAAATACCCAGGACTGCATTGTTGACACACATGTTGGTGGTAGCAGCCCTGAAGCATCTAGAAGCTGGGCCAGCAGCTCTGAATGAGCAACTGTCCCCGAAATGACCAATTTTACAAGTCATGACGGCCCTCACCACCAGCACTGCATGCGGGAATCTTTTTTCTCTAATATAATTGATTTTTTTTTTTTAGAGAGAGAAACATTTCCCCCCCACATTTATATATGCATTCATTGGTTGCTTCTTATATGTGCCCTAACCAGGAATCAAATCCACAACCCTTGGCATGTCAGGATGATGCTCTAACCAACTAAGCTGCCGGGCGTCAGCTAAAAAGAATTCACAGTATTTCAGGGCTGGACTGCTAGTGACTGTTGTCTTTTCCCAGCTGTCAACAACTGTATACAGTGTTTAAGTAGACTGCCTTTCTTTTGAGTGTGCTACATAATTACCTAGCTCTTTTTCAAAGGGTAAAGAAAGAAACATATCTGATAAGCCAGTACAAATCCTCGGATTTTAACCTGGTGACACACCTTTATCAATCACTGAGCTGCATAAATGTATGAGGAAGGGTGCCACCTAGGGCTTTCTTCTGTTCTGTTTCTCTTAAGAGAGAATTCCTGGAAATCAGAAACAGCAAACTGATCCCTCCAGGATACGTGGACAATGATGACCTGAGGACGCTCACATCACTGCCTACAAGTAAAAAAGCCTCTGTATCAGGATATGGAAGACTCTGCTATTTTTTAAAGCATTTCAACTATGAATCTTAATGACATGAAAGCATTCACAGACCTCACATAATAGTGGCACATGAAAATGAATTATTCTTTAAAACGACTAGTAAGTTGGAAATATTTGAAAAGATTTTGTATTTTAACAACTACCACAGCGTCAGTATAATTTTAAAGAGAGTAAGCAATTGTGCAAGAGGCGTCACTCAGTCCATGCACAATGCTGCACAGACCACTGTATCATGTCTCTCTGTAGTCCCCAGGCCTCATGTTAGAGACCAACACCACAGGTTGGGTGTGCCACAGGGCTGCGGGTGGCAGGACATGGAAGCGACAATTGGTCACATCCAAATATGGGGCTCACGAGTGTTATTCTCTCCCCAAGTGTGAGGAGCAGCATCCAATCACTCAATACATGGAGCTGCAAGATGTTCAGAAAGACTCTGATGGGATGGGGGGGGGGGCAGCAGGGCAGAAAGAGAGAGACAGGTTTATACAGATGGACGGATGGAATCTTGATGAAGTGATCTAGAACTATGCTGTCAGAAAACTTATAAAGAAGCCATCTAAAGTTCCACATGTGGTTAAGCTGTATAAGGCTCCTAAGTCTTCACCTGGGGTGGTAGGTGCACCCCGGACAAGCAAGTGTAGGTGTTAAGATGGGACACCTGTCTCAGAACCAGGCAGTGGCACATACTGTCATATCCCGATGGCACGTGAGACCAGCCCAACAGGGAGCCAACGGGCTGGCTGACAACCCACTACTGCTCTGCGAGCCCCCCTTCGTGGTCGGAAGAGGTCAGACAGCAGAGAGTTTCCTAGAGTCAGGTGTTGCCAGGCTGGAGTCCT